ATAGGAACTAATGGCATACCTGTAGTAGAACGCAAACCTCTGGAGAAGCTTTTCCTGGAGGTTCACTCGCACAGGTTCAGCCGTTATAGTCTCCGGGGGATCCGGATGACCAACATCTGGGGGAGCTGGTCGAATTAAGGCGTTCCGGAACTTCCTCGGAAGCAACGTCAGTTGGCAGATTAGCCACCGCCGACTGTTGTTGCTTGAGGTACTTTGCGTACGCTGCCTTTAGGCTAGCCACACTACGCTGTACCCCACTAGCGCTACGTGAACGACGCCAAGCTTCCGCAAGGGGCGCCCAACGTATCTTACCGTTCCGCCGATGTAATTCGACCAGATCGGCAAGGTTTTGAAGGTCGCTAGCGACCCACAGAATCCTCTTCTTCCTCGCCTGTAGGGCGTCGTGCCCGTTACCAGGGTCTTGGGAATCAGAGGCGTCTCTCAAGGTAGTCTCGTTCATTTGTGGCCACATATCTCGCAAGCCACTTACTAGCAATGAACACTCAGGTACTTTAGCCGTAACTCTCTTTCGAGAACCGAAGCAAACCAGCGAAGAGTCACGTCCGGGGGTAACGACGTGAACGTATAACTGATGAACCCCCATTAGTAATGTAACCTATCAGACCTGACCTGGACGTTAAAGAACGGAAGCCAGTCTGTCGCACGGCTTCTAACTAACTTAGTTTGATATGTTCGGACTGCTCGTTCATCAGTTCGAAACATTTGTCGATTTCGCCCTAAGAGGCGTAATAACACCGCCGGCAAACTCGAACAGGATACGGGTGGGCTTCTCCTGAGAATCACGGCTCGTCCCCTTCTCATAAAATGGCCGCAGACTTTGCTGCCCAAGTGATCATAACGCAGTGCTGATTCCTGCGTGTGATTGTGCGCCTGTGATCACGCTCAACAGATCCGGTCAACAACAAGTCATACTGGAATACAAGATCGCTTAGGCACTCTCCGTCAAGTGTTTTGGGCTGCGGTATAAACTTATCTTGCAAACAAGTATTTTATTCACAGCGAAACATCTTAAGAAATAATACATTAAATTCATCATAGTTTTTTTCCCTTTTTGCATGTTTTATCGGTCACTAAGCCATATAATTACGTGTTGTTCTGTTTGTTCTTACTAACCGATAATAAATCATAATCATATCATAATCAGAGTTGCTAAGTAACGCATTTCTTGCATCAGTTGTCACTGATGCATGTATTTTCATTCGTCCCAAGCCTTATTCCTTCTAGGGACAGTAAATTGGTACCAGGACAAGAATATCTGGGTAGATAAGAAAACTCAGCTGTAGGCTGGCTCCGCGAACCATTGTATTACCACGATTCAGTGCGGAAGTGCCATGCGCGCTTCATCCCCAAAAGGGTTTGGTCGGCAAGGAAACTTTTACTTTTATACACACGTTTACTTCG